CATGCCTGTAATTTTGGCTACTCGGAAGGCTGAGGCGGAAGGATCGCTGGAGCCCAGCAGGCGAGGCTGCAGTTGCCGGGAGCTGCCACTGCACTCCAGTCTGGGCGACCGAGTGAGACTCCAACTCAAAAAAAAAATAAAAAAAGTACTTTTTCTTGAGTCTAGTGAGGGTTTTTAATAAATCTTGACTAAACTTCCTCTTTTTCGAGGGACATCAACTTAAGATAGGTAGCCTGGAAATTTGATTTCAATCTTACTAAGCTCGATGCAATAGCTCTATTACTAAAGTAATCACTGCTTCATACCTTGGTGTTTCCATTTCCTGTAAGTAGCACCTGGAACAAATCTATAATGTAACTGTGAAGCAAGTGCTGGTGGTCATTGGTAACAGTCATGTTTGTTAACAATCTCAGTCCAGCCAGCTGCACCGGGGAGTTCAGGGGACCAGCAAAGACATCCTCACAGACTTGATTGATGTATACCTGAAAAGAAGGGGAAAAAATGAGCATCTTAGAATCTCCAAAATTTCTCTGTTGAACAGTCACTTTTCCAAACAGTGGAGTAGGGCTATTGCTTAGGATGGAACTGGCTCCTCAAGAAAAGATAACATTTCTACCTGGTCATCAAATTTTGACCTTTTTAAAGCTGACTTTGATAATGCCAGGCACTGTGCTTAGCATTATACCTACACCTCACTTAATCCTGAAGATGACTCCAATGAGGTGGGTGTTACTAATGGCCATCTTACAGATAAGGACTCAAAAGTCTTCAAGGAACTTGGTCGGGTCTTTTGTCCAAATTTAGCCAGCAGGTGGGAAAGTGATGTCTATGACCAGAGATCATGCTCTCATCACCAGTGGCTTCTCCCTGATTGGGCACCTCCCAACTTAGTCCATCTCTCCATTTCAACTGGTCTGTGAGATTATTTTGTATCACGCTAAGTACCTTAGCAATAGGGTCTAGAGAGCTACATCATGTTAAAAGTAAAAAAGTGGGGGCATAATGTAAAATAAAATTTTTCCTTAGAGCTAATTCTACCAAAAGTAAGCAGAACAAAATTATATTTGACCCAAGGTTCTTATTTAATTAGGTATATGTATATAATTCATCCCTTCATAATATTGTTAAACATCACTGACAAAAAGTAATGTAATGCTGGCAGTAATGTTATTTCATATATGAGATAACTAAACTTAGTGTGATGGAAAATTTCCTGAAACTCTATTTTCTGTGTCTGGCCATGTTCTTTCTAGACTGGAAGAATTATGTTTCACAGATAACTGGTATTCACTTAAGTCAATCTGAACTCTACCAAAATTTCTACTGGTTAAGAAAATTTTCCTAATTTGAACTGTTAAGAAGTTATTAATTGTCCCATAAATCCCTTATTCATTTAAAAAAAATTCCCAAATGTAACCATGTCACCATAGAAACTAAAGTGATGGTAGTAAAGCAAAAAGAGATTAAACTTTTAATCTGATTTCAATATCTTAATTACACTTACAAGTCAACTGGCTCTCTTTGGTCACAATTTTATTACACACCCATCCTTTAAAAATGGCATTTCTTTAGTTTTTTTAGAAATCATATTTTCATAAGCTGCTGAGGATTTTTCAAAGCATTTCCTTAAGATGTGGAACATTTACATCCTTTTTTTTTTTTTTTTTTGCCTTTGGGAGCAGTTTAAGTCAGACTTAAAAGTAGGAGTATAATTTTTTTTTTTTTTGAGTCTGAGTTTCACTCCGTTGCCCAGGCGGGAGTTCAGTGGAATGCTCACCGCCACCACAGCCTCAAATCACTGGGCAAAGGTGATCCTTTCACCTTGGTCTTCCAAGTAGCTGGAAACACAGGCTGCGTCACCATGCCCACCTGATTTTTTCAATTTATTGTACAGATGAGGTCTCACCAAATTGCCCAGGTTGGTCTCGAACTCCTGGGCTCAGGCAATCCTCACGACTCGGCCTCCCAAAGTGCTAGGATTACAGGCGTGAGGCACTGCGCCTGGCACTGGAGTATAATTTTTAAAGTACAGTTAATGCTACCACAACATGGAGAAATTAAATGGATTTCCCCCTCCCCCCCTTAACTCCAGAAAAACCCAAGGGTTCCCTGAGGGCCTTATCGGAGGAGTTGGCCATGCATGTTCCTGCTCTTCCCCAGAAGCTCTCCTGGCCGGCACGTTCAGCTACCCTTCCAAGGCCTTTTCTGCTTATAACAGTCGTGCTGTCCTGATCCCTCCTCCCCAGGCTCTGTTGTGGCAGAGATGCCCCAGCACCTGCAGCCCCTTAAGTCTTGCCTCTTGCCCTTTCCCCTTGGGAGCTCCAGGCCAGTAGGAGCTCCAGGCCAGCGGAAGCAGTGCAGGTGCAGGCTGTCTGTTGGCTGCGTGGTGGGCGATATGGTGGAGGTTCAGCATGGCCACAGGGCTGAGGACATCCACTTCTGGCTTCTGCTTCTTCCCAGGGGACTTGCCCTGGCCTTTGCCTTTCTTTCTCTTTACCTGGCATACTATGCCCTTCCTCGGTGGAGGCTGCGCGCGCAGCAGGGGCGTCTGGTGCCGGGACGAGGGGCAGACTGAGGGCTCGCAGCCGGCTAGAAGCCCTGCTGAGTCTCTCAGGAATGAGGCCCTGCACGTAGCAAGAGGCCAAGGGGCTGCTGGGGGTGGGTGGGCTGCATTCTTACTAAATCTGAATCTTTTCGTCATTTCAATTCTAGTAACAAGATTACCAAATGGGCCAGCTCGGTTATTCCTGGAGCTGCACCCACCTCATTTTGTTCCTTTCCCTTGGAATTCTCTCCTTCTCCAACTCTCCCTATAGAAATCATAGACATTATTAAGAGCCATATAAGAGGACAGACTCAACCTCTTACAGAAACCTTTGGATGGGGTGTCACCTTTCTATGTACTCACAATTTTTTACTTGTATTTTTCCTTAACGCACTTCATCATGTTCTCCTTTGAATTACAACTGTCACAGACTTGCTATATCCCTTCTAGCTTTCCTAGAACACCAGTTGCATCAAGTTCATTTCTATATTCTGTGCCACAGAGTAGGAGTTCAATAAATGTTGAATTGAATTAGCACAATGCCCTAATTTATTGTGTCTTTCTGCTAATGTTGTCTGACTCTAGCCTGTTTCCTTTGTTCCTTTAGCACCCTCGGATTCAAGTGAAGCCCAACTTCAAAAGTCTCATTGTACTCTTATTGGCAGGCTCCGGTCCCTCTCTCCTTTCCCTTATTCTATAATCCTCTAAAGGTAATTCTTGGCTGTAAAGTTATAAAGGATAGTCTAGTAAAGTCCATTATTTACCTTTTTGTTATCTTCTCTTTCATTTATAGAAAATCTTATACATTTATGATTTCAGGCAACTTACCTTTATCTTTGTTTGATTTTCAACATTCACACTCAGGTTATTTAGTGCATTTAAAGCTTTCTCTTTAATACTCTGGTTGGGACTGTTGATTTTGTTTCCAACAATTGGAATACCGCCCAATTCACGAATAATAGCCTAAGAGGGAAAAACATCAGGACCATGATTTCAGTATGCATTCCCCTTCATTGAATTCTCTGCAGCCACAAACACAATTTAAAATTAATGACTTTTTGTAAATACTTTTCCCAAAAGCAAATCTTTAATTACTATTTTAAAAAATTTTTATTATCCGTAATTTTATAGGTAAAGAAAATCAATTGAAAATAGAATAACTAAGATATGTAATTATTTAAACTATAGCATGGAGATGTAAAATAAAGATTTGCAGAGCTACAAAGATGATCTTGAAGCAATTTACAAACAAAATTATTTTACCGTAAAACACATCATATGACTTTTCCATTACAGACAAAGTTAGAAAAGTGTTATGATTTAGAATACTAAAGTAATGTTTTGCAAACATATATTATTTGGAACACTTATTCCTCAAGATGTAATAGATATTCTGCAAAAGAAGCGGGGGGGAACTCCATATTATATATATTTGGGAAACCCTGGGTATAATAAGAGGAAACATATTTCTTTATTGTAAGGCATTAATATGTTCATATGCACTGGAAATCTATAAAGAGAGGAGTATTCACTATAGTATTTCTGTGAACCATACACACAAAAAAGATCATTTTTAAGTGCTGGGAATGGGGAGAACACCTTAACATCCTGCAGAACTGGAGGTCCACACAGTTTGAGAAATGGTGTCCAAATTACCCAACGAATCTGGGATTTCTCACAGTTTATTGCAATACTATGTTACCATGTGTCTTTTACCCTAACATTGAAAGTATTAATTGCTTTAATTCTTAAAGAAAAATATGCTGAAAATTACTCTTGTCAGGCCAAGACATGCCATTCTATTAGAAAAAGATTGTCATCATCCATTTTTTACAAATAGAGTATTCTACTATTAAGGGTGGGCTTCATAGTAAGAGAAAAAGAAACGTTCCCTCTGTAACTCCAGCTCTTTTAAAGAACTTATAGTTACTAGAAAACCTATACTGTTAAAGCAGATCAGGCGGAAGGATCACCGGAGCCCAGCAGGTTGAGGCTGCGGTGGCTGGGAGCGGCCACTGCACTCCAGTCTGGGCGATAGAGTGAGACTCCAACTCAAAAAAAAAAGAATGAGGGGCATTGACCCACAATGTTCAATAAAGTATTTGTTCTCCAGTAGTTATTGGCCCACTCTTCGACAACTTGTTTTAGGATATAAAACTATGGCATCAGAAATACTCTAATATAGGAAGACTAACAAATTAATCACCATCTATTGTTTTTGTCTTGTGCCCCTTTTTCCACTGGGGCAGCCATGGCACCTCCATCTCCTATAGTCCTCTGATGGGATTGTTGGTCGGTTGTGTTATATCCACTCTGCTACCTGGCTGTAGGATGCTTATGCAAACCTGGACTCGCTAATCATGGGCCACAGTCCCTTGCCCCAGGTCCACATGATTGATACTTGATCCTAGCAGAAGAACTGTACCTTTTGGTTCATGAGCTATAGGGATGAAGACTGGAGAGGCCAGTGGCTTTCTTTCCATCCCTGTGAAGAAAACCTCTTTGTGGCCAGAGAGACAAAGACCAATACATACAAAGATACGGGCACAGCAAAGCCAAAAGGTGGAGAAAGAGAGTGGTAATAACTTTTTCTGAAGCCTCGAACTGGATTCACTTGTGCCTGAAATCAATGCTGTTCTTTGATGTCCAAGTTAAGTAAGCTCAATATTTTCCCTTTTTGGCTTAAAATAATTTAAGCTGGATTCTGTCACTTGTAATAGAAAGAGTAGATAATGGACAAAGATTTTCTATCTCTCTATAAATCTTTACAGCTTTATGGTAAACAATGCCTTTCTGTAGAAAACTAGACTGAAATGAATTATAAATTCAAAAGAATTTTGCATTTATGACAATGTTAACAAAGGGCATTAACTAAAAATATTACCAAAAATTCTAATCTTTTATTTTCACATGCTGTCTGTGTGTGGGTGTGGGGGGTGCTATACAGAGAAGGAAGCATTCAAATTAAGCTCTACAGTCTTGGTGTTAAGTCTCTACTTGCAGAAGCCATTTACATTGATTATTGGTTGGAAGAGTGTAGTGCAGGGAGCACCTACATCAGAACCACAATCACAAAATCTACATACAATTTAAAGCAGGTACTTAAATGTTAGATACTTCCAATGTTTTACTGAAGTACAGTTGAATTTTAAAGGCCATGTGATGTTATATGTTGATTAGATACATTTAGTATCACTGTGACCAACTTCATAGGTATTTAGAATAATGGTAATCATATTACTATTATGCTGTGGTTTTCAGAAGTAAACAAACATTATGTTGTAGGTATAAGTTCATACATTGTACAGATTAGAAAACTGAGGCTCTGAGAGGTTAAGCAACTTATCCAGGGTCACAGTTATTGCTATTGTGTAAGAAAGGAAGGAGTTTGCTTGCTCAGACAAAAGCACTTACTTGGTTAGGTGAAAAGGCTGCATTGTTACCCAAAGTGACCAAAGCTCTTTCAATAATTATAGGATCCTCAGTTGACTTTAGCAGGTAAAGGAGTTTCTGAAGTTGATCAGCATTTAGGACATCATCATATGAACCACTGGTTAAATCTTCTGCATGAGAAGAAAGTTATTTGAAGTTCATCTAAAATCAATATGAGATTTTTTTAAATTTTAAAAATATTATTGAATGTTATACTCTGATGCCACTGCATAATACTAAGCACTGTACATGCTTTATCTCATTAAATCCTCAAGCAACTTTAGGAAGATGATATTATTAATCTCGATTTACAGATGGGAAATTGAGGCTTACAGATATCAAGAAACTGGCCAATGGTCACTTGGCATGTCTGTTAGTAAGACACTGCCTGTGATGCTATCTACCTCCGATACTGACAACTTTTTGTTTTTAATGGAACTTCTATCTAAAGGGGGCATAGATTAAGGAATGGAGGATTTGCATTAAGCAGACCTTTTCTGAGCACATCAGGAACAACAAAACCTAAGGGAAAAACCCTTGGTTGGTAGTGTGGTACTTTTGTTTGGCTTAGAGGAATAAGGCATGATGGTTGGGATGCCATAATAATAGTTCTGTTGATGGTGATGGCAAAAGGAAAGCTGTTATTCTGGGTATGAGCCAGAATAGCCAGGCATAGTGGCTCATTCCTGTAATCCCAGCACTTTGGGAGGTTGAGGCGAGAGGATTACCTGAGCCCAGGGATATGAGACCAGCCTGGGCAACTTAGTGAGACCTCACCTCTACAAGAAATCAAAACATTAACCAGGTGTAGTGGTGCACACCTATAGTTATAGCTGCTTGGAAGGCTGAGACAGAAGGATCACCTGAACCCAGCAGGCTTAGACTGCGGTGGCCATGACCATGCCACTATACTCCAACTCCAACTCCCAAAGAAAAAAAAAAGGGCCAGAATAGTCAAATGCTGGATCTCCTCAATTATTTTTAGAATTTATAGCTCCACGTTAAAAAAAAAAAAAAAAAAAAGCCTAAGCCTTTTCACAGAAATCATCATAGGAAGAAGAGAAACTATTTTTATAACACTCTTACTGTTGGGGATAGAGTGCAAGAAAGAAGGTTGCATAACAATAGGTGCTATCTGATCTCACATCTGTGCTTTTTTGTTAAAAAAAAAGTATATATACATATACACACACAATTACTAAAGGGGGTTATCTTTGGGTATTGGGATTATAAATGACTTATTTTCTACCCTGTACTCATGAGTACTTTCTGACTTTTTTTTTTTTTTTTACAATAAACATGTATTATTCCTGTACCTAAAATAACTAAGCATATTGCTTAAAGAGGAATAAAAAAAAAAAAAAAAAAGAAGGAAAAAGGTAAGTATGGATGATGGGAAACAATATGTGATATGATGTTCTGAGGAAGCCAAGTATGAAATCTGGTAAGAAAACCTCAAAGCCTGCAAATTTTCACTACCAAGTCTTATAAACAGGACCCTGCTTTTACTTCAGAATCCATTATCGGTCTCATTTATATCTTATATCTTATAAAACAGGATTTCACTCAAACGATAAGGGAAAGAGTGATTAAAAATACAGCTTTTTAGAATGGAAAGAATTTGGGGCTCATCCAAACTTCTCATTTTACACAGGAAGAAACTTAAGCCAGGATCAGCCTAAAGTCACAAGTAGCAGAAACCAGAGAAATGAAAATATAAAGTTGCAGGTAAGTCACTTAACACCTTTTTGGGTCTCAGTTTTCTTATCTGTGAATAAGAGGGTTGTTTTAATACTACAACTGGCTCCAAAGGTTCCTACACAGCTCTGAAGTTGTGTAATTTTACACATACACACAAGCACACATACACAAACATTCACAGCAGAAATGCGATAAATTTAACTCATTCATGCTTCTGACATATTTTAAAATTCATGTTATTTTGTTATACGTTATTCCGTAAAATTCTTTTAAAAAGCTTTATAGATATATATATCCTTTACAAATAGTCAAATATTTTATTAGGGAACAGTGTTAAATCAGAGAATTTTCACTTGAAGGGAGGAGGTACAGTGTGGTAGTTAAAAGTAAGCCAGGGCTATGAAGCCAGATTCTAAATAAGTTACTAACAAGGTGAGAGACTTAACCTCTCTAAGTCTCAGTTTTCTCATCTTTTTAAAGGAGTTAGCAGTGCCTACCTCAAAGCATTTTTGTGCCTAGAACATTGGAAGTGCCTGGTATATTTTAGTCATTATTTTTTATTAACGGAACACAGAGATTAATAGCAAAAGTGGCTCCAGAATCCAGACCTTTTTACTCCTAGTCCATTACTATCCCCACCAACTACCATTCCCTTTAATATATTGAAAATAATGAGCCTCTACTTAGATTCTATACATTCTAACTTCTGTTTGAATTCCTAATAACCATACATTACTTTTTTTAGTGAAAAAAATAAAAAAACTTAAAACTCTAAACCTTTCAGAAGATGGATGGCATACCCAGTATCTTTCACTGGTGAGTTTTTGGGCTGCTATTACATAGGTGAGGCAGTCAAATACAATGTTTTCTACTTCTCCATCTAGCTTTCTGCCAATAAGATTGTGTCAGAATTTTAAGCTCAGTGGCTCATCACCTCCTCTAGTAAATCAAGGAGAAATTCATTCTCAGAGGGAATGAAAAGTGACTTACAAATTATAACATTACAGCAAGATAAATTTCAAGATAACTCTCATGCTTCAGAATCTTTCCAACTAAGAATGTAAATCTCAGGTCCTTCAGTAGAATTAGTTTCATATGGGCTTCTTGCTAGATGTACTCCTAGTTTTTAAATTTTTTATAATTGTCATGAATGAAATATTTTCAATTAATTTGTTTTTATTGGATATTTATAAGAAGCTATTGATTTAGTTATATTTACTTGTATTTAAGACACTTTATTAAGCTGGGCACAGTGGCTCATGCCTATAATCCCAGCACTTTGGAGGCTGAGGTGAGAGGATAGCCTGAGCCCACGGGTTTGAGACCAGCCTGGGCAACTTGGCGAGACCTCATCTCTATAATAAACAAATAAATAAAAATGAGCTGGGCATGGTGGCACATGCCTGTAATTCCAGCTGCTTAGAAGGCTGAGGCAGGAGGATCACCTGAGTCTAGAGGGTTGAGGCTGTGGTGGCCGTGAGCGTGCCACTGCATTCCAGACTGGGTGACAGAGTGAGACTTCAACTCAAATTAAAAAAAAGATACTTTATTAAACTCTTATTGCTTCTAGTAGCTATTCAATTAGTTCTCCTGGCTTTTTCTAAGTCAATTATTATGCCACATACAAATTATAATTTTGTTTCCTTTCTAATATTTATGTGTCTTATTTTTTTCTTGTCTTATCAAGCTATGACTCCAGGACAATGTATTTAGTTGTGATAGTAGACACCCTTTTCTTATTTTTGAATTTAATAAGGATGTTATTAGTGTTTCACCACTAAATGTACTATTTGCTTTTTGGTTCTGATGGATGCTCTTCATCAACTTAAGAACATTTTCTTCTATTTATTCTTAACTTGCTGTAAGATTTTTAAACTCAGAAATGATATTTTAATGCCTTTTTATAATGAGATCATCATGTGGCTTTTACTTTCCCCAATATGACTCCTCCATGTCCATTTGGTCTTGGTATATAGATTTGATTTGCTAATATTTTAAGGCTTTTATATTTTTACTCATATCAATGTGGATTTATAGATTTTCATGCAATCCTTGTCAGGCTTTGGTATTAGGTTTTTGGATGAATTGGGAGTTTCTTATCTTTTTTGATGCTCTCAAACAGTCTTAACAATAGAAGAATTACAAATTTCTTAAAGATTAAGACAAAGAAAAAAGAATCTTCTAAATCTAAGGGTAATGATGAACTAAATGAGAATTTCTCAAGTCTTCTTCAAAGATAAAGGTTTAGCTTCAGGAAGAAGGAACTGTGAGTTTTGTAAGTTGCCTGACTTAAGACAATGACAATTTTGGGAACTGTTAAATTTAAGCTTAAAAGACTCATGTCTGTAACATTTTGCCAAGGCAAAATGATCACTTAAAGCCAGGAGTCTGCAAGAAAGTGGGATCCTGTCTCTGCAAAAAAAATAAAAATAATTAGCCTAGCATGGTGTCACATGCCTTTAGTCCCAGCTTGGGAGAGTGAGGTGAGAGGATGTCTTGAGTATAGGAGTTCAAGACTGCAGTGAGTGATGACTGTACCACTGCACTCCCGCCTGGGCAAGGGAGCAAACCCTTGTCTCTAAAAGAATAAATAAAAGACTGTCAGTAATTATCAGGTTAATTCAGTATAAGTGAGAAGATATCTGAGCCCAGGACACTCTTCCACTGTACTTATATAGAAATATCTCTGATGTGGACAAAGACAACATTAGGCTTTTAAGTGCTATGGTTTGAATGTCTCCTCCAAAATTTATGTTGACACTTAATTCCCAATGTGGTAGTATTGAGAAGTGGGGCCTTTAAGAGGTGACAGGATCATGAGGGCTGTGCCCTCATGAATGGATTAATGAGTTAACCAGGACTGGTGGCTTTATAAGAAGAGGAAGAAAGATCTGAGCCAACTTGTTAACACTATCAGGCCCCTTGCCCTTGCCCTCTGCTGCCCTGGAACTTTGCAGAGTTCCTATCAGCAAGAAGGCCCTCATTAGATGCAGCCCCTCAACCTTGGACTTCTCAGCCTTCATAATTGAAAGAAATAAAGTTCAAGTTACCCAGTTTCAGGTGTTCTGTTATAAGCAGCAAAAATAGACTAAGACAGTAAGGGTAAACATAAATCTTTAAAAGAGACTTTGTCTCTCTATTGCCCAGGCCTGAGTACAGTGTTGAGAACTCAACTCACTATACCTTGAACTCCTGGGCTCAAGCTATCATCTTGCTTCAGTCTCCTGAGTAGCTAGGACTAGGCACACACTTTCTTATTTTACTGTGTTGTAGGGTCTCCCCGTGTTGCCCAGCTGAACTCCTGGCTTCAGGTGATCCTCCCACCTCAGCTCCCAAAGCACTCAGATTACAGCAGGAACCACTGTGCCAGCCCACTTCCTTCTCTTAAAGCATTTCCTCAAGTAAACTTGTAATTAGAAATCCTGTCTGTCCTTTTGCTATAACATGTAAATCTTTTAAAAACTAAGTAAGTCTTTGGTCAGTTGTATAGCCCAACAATCTCTTCCTTAGAGGCTTTGGAGTCCACTCTGGGAAATGTAAACTTCTAGGAAGATAGAGTCCCAATCTCCTATCTCTGTAGGTACCTGGTTCTCCATTGTAACTAACCTGCTCATCATAAAGATGTCTAACTTTTCCTCTGGATAAAGGCAATCAGCTAACATAATCACCCCAATTATCAATGAATTTAGGATGAACTTCATATAGTAAATGATGCTTTCAAGTCCTCTTACTTAAGGACAAATTACTGTTTATCTTGAGAACAGGTATGTAATATGAAATCGGTTGTATTTACCCAGCTACAAGAAGGGGTTAGAACTCTTTCTGCAATTCCATTAGCTGGTTACTTCTGATGTGCCTGTGCTTATTCAACGATAAAGCTATTTAGTTCTCTTCTGCAGCTGTGGAGAGGCGTTTTTTGAATGGTTGGATATTTTTAACTATTTTCCCTAACAGCTTCCATGACCTGAAATACTCCACCCGGAACATTCAACAACCTGTTAGTTTAAAAGTTTTTAGAGTCTTAATGTATCAATCAACTTTTAGACAGAAACCTAAATCATGCACTTATCCGCTAGGAGGGTGTACCTCATGCAGACAACGGTTCCAATTTCCAATACACACACACCCCTGCAAATTTCCAAATTTCAAGATCCTGGAGGTGACTCCAAGGTACCTCTCCTCTCAGGGCCGAGTGCAGGCAGAACTGCCCTTCTAGCGTCCCATCTTCCAGGACTACTGCACGAATATCTTCCTCTGCAGCTCCAGGCCCCTCAACAGCCCTACCACAGTGGATGGAAATCCCTTTGGTAACACAAAGAGCGGAGCAAGCTTTAAAGTGAGAGGCAATCAACATGCTTTTAAGAAACCCAATCCTCTGCTGTGACGCCAGACTCAGGAAAATTTGAGTAATTTTTCATCTCAGGATTTTGAACAAAGAATTGTTGGCAGGATGGCGGCTCAGGAACCTCCATCCACACAAGCACAAGGGCGACCCTCCCTCCCCACCTGGGCTTCCCGGCCTCGCCCTTTTCACGAGCCTCCCTTCCCTCCTCTGGCTCGGCGCCTCATTTTATCCCGAAGACACTGCAAGCCACAAATGTCTGCGGCATTTTCGGCCCCCACGAGCCAAGGACGGCTCCCGCGCCCCGGTCCCCGCCCACCTGCCCGGCATCCTGCGGCCTCACCTGCGGACCACGAAGGGCGCAGCCCGAGCCCGCGGCCG